GGGATTTCGACATTTGGGATCTCGATGTTTAAGATTTCGACATTCTGAAGATTTTGAGATTTTAAAATTTCTTGATGTTTTGAATTTTTCAAAGTTTGGAGTTTCTTTAATCACAGAATTTTTCGAAGCTTAATATCTTTCTTAGTTCAGAACATTTCGAAGATTTACATTATAGGATTTTTGGATGATTCCCTGCTTTTCATTGTTTTAAAGAAGTTCTCGATGTTCTGATGTTTTTCAAACAACAAGTTTTCGATATTATGAGGTTTTTGAAACTTCAAAGTTTTTAATGTTCCAAACATTTTGAAATTCTGAAGATTTCGAAGTCTGGAGGTTTGTTTTGCAGGTGGATTTCTTCATTATTCTTCGAGGCAACCTCGAGATTAAGATCTCAAAGTTTAAACCTCGAGATTGTAATCTCGAAGTTTAAACCTTGAGATTGTAATCTCGAAGTTTAAACCTGGAGATTGTAATCTCGAGATTTAAACCTCGAGATTGTAATATCGAAGTTTAAAGGCCGAGATTGTAATCTCGAGATTTAAACCTCGAGATTGTAATCTTGAAGTTTAAAGGCAGAGATTGTAATCTCGAGATTTAAACCTCGAGATTGTAATCTCGAGATTTAAAGGTCGAGATTGTAATCTCGAGATTCTAATCTTGAAGTTTAAACCTCGAGATTAGGATTTCAAGGTTTTGCCTCAGAATTTGTTTAAACTCCACCTGCTCTCGATATTCAACATCGAGAACCTCAACTTCGAAGAAATTTCTCAACAACTCAAAATTCGAGATTTTCAGCGACATCGCACTGTTTTGGCCATAACGTTTGACTCGGTGATCCGATTTAAGCGAATCATATGTCGTTGGAAAGCTAACGAAAAGATATACATGAATTCCAGGGCTTTACTCCAAAACCCCCAACCACGCGCCCTCACTCGCGGTTCTTGAGGGAGATATCGTTCGCTTTCCGACAAACATTGTCATTCACTGATGTCAATGTCAAAACTTAGGGAAATCTGTTCAAATTCTTCCAAAGTCAAACCTAAGGTCAAAGATTTTCAAAACTTCACTGTAGAGGTCCGAAAATCGTAGATAACTCAATCAACCTCGCGTCAACGGTCATCTTACAACAATCAACAATCAACTACTGAAGCGTCCCCTAACTCATCAACATTGTGTGATCCTCAAACATGTTGAAATTCCAAATGATGAGCTAAGGGAAAACCGTCATGTGTGGTACCTATTCAGATTGCTCCACACACATGGCGGGTATGATAAGCGGTGAGCAATCAAACCTTGCACATTCTAAGGGGGAATTTCAGTTTTCTCCTCCTGGCGCCTTACACCGAAAATGCAAGGAATTTCTCAAAGGATGCAACATTTTAGGGAGAGTTTTCAATATTCTCCTCCCCGACGCGCAACAAAGACAAAGCATACCGAGTGCTCCAGTTGAGGGGAAGTACAGAGAGAAAATCAATGAGAGAACATGCCCTTATGGCCTAGTAAACCTAACTAAGCCTACCCAAGGGACAAAGCCGAGAGTAAGTGAGTGAGTGAGTGAGTGAGTGAACATTATGAACGTTATGAAGCAGGAGGCTCAAGTGAGCAAGAAAACAATAATCATTGATAAGTCTGCTACCTCAACTGCCTGCTATCCATTGAACACTTACTCCTAGTCACTTCAATACTCTGGACAATTCCCAAATAGGTTCAGGACTGATCTAATCAGATCCCGGGTAGAAGTCATTGCATCTTGTCCAACAGTTCATGTTTAACCCTACCCAAGACCACTCACTTGTCTCCCAACAAACAGGTGTTTAATCATATTTCACGGGGAACCTCGTCTCTCATTACTGTCTCCTTCCGAGGCAAGTGATACTGACTACAGTGGCCTCAACCCCATGCCACTGAACTTTCATTGATCACGTCGTGTCTAGTTACTCACTCCCAAATGTTTTGAAATTTGCTAGGACATAGACGCACCTTTGAGTCAGTTGCAGGTCTACATGACCTACGAGAACTTCCATAGGGCTCATCTATTACAGATGTAGGGCTACGAGATGTTGGTTTGATCTGATTCAGGAAGTTTTACAGTGGAAAATTAGGAAAGTTATTGTTTTTGGACATGTCTACAGGGAAGCTAATTGGACCTCCCACCATTTAGCTGAAATTTGGACCTCTCGGTTTACTACTTTTAGTAGCCCATCCGAATTGGCTATATTTGCAAAGCGGGCTTTTTTGATGGACCTATTTGGTATTCCTTCCCTTAGAATTTAATTACCTTGTATAATTTTATTTCTTGTTTGTTTTTAAGGGAGGTTTTGGTCTGGTCCCCCTCTCTTTTGTACCGTGCCGCTTCTTAATAAAATCTGGCTAATGTTCCCTGGCATTAGCCCCACTGATTTTGGTGGTTTGCCTTCCGGGGTAAAAATTTTTTGGAAGGAAGTCGTGCTGTTGCAACATTACTTATCACCAACATTTTCAGGGCATTGCTTTAGAGTTTTTCTCTATAGTGATGATAACGAGTGTCTACATGACGGTTGGAAGTCCTGTTAGAGCTTTAATGTTTCTATCATTTTATACAGGCCACACATCCGTGTTTACATTGATGTTGTGATAACGGAACACCTCAGTGTCTCCGGTGTTTACCTTTTTGTTCTTCTGTTTTGTCCTTCAGTTCCAAAAAAAAGAAAGGTATGACGCCCCGATTCATCGGATCGTCATGAGGGGGAGAGTGTCCACATGCTGTTAAATGTCACCAAATCATTCTCAGACACTTCTCTTCTATAAAAAATTTCAACGACTCTCTTCTATCTCTACACCTCAAATGGTCAGCTACGCTCACAAGTCAACCATCTTTTTCCGCTGTGCCACCGACAAGGTCTCCTCAAACGCATTCACGTCGAATAGTCAAAAAGACTACATTGTGGAGGAGACAAAGGTCACATACTCGAATTCCGAAAATGATTTCCATGTGCGTCTGCAATTCTTCAAGAACATTCATTCTAGAGGCCCCATCAGACTTCATTCAAGCTGATCAAGAGCTACTTCTGAAGGCAAGGTTTACAAGCAAGCCAAAGAAAGATTCCTCAACCCCCGACATCAAAGCTCAAATTGCCAAGAAGACATCAAAGGGGAGATTGCAAGGATTCCTTCAGAAAGCCTTCTCAAGAAGTCAAGTTCAAAGACAAAGGAAGCTGAATAACGACAAAGACAAAGATATTTGCACTGCAATGCTGATTCAACACGATTGAACACCAAGGGGGAGATTGTTAGGAATATTTTAGGTGTCCAATCCAATTAAATATATTTGTATTTGTGTAATTATTAGTAAAACGTGTAATATGAGTCACAAATGTATATCAACCCATTAGCTCTTTTGTAATCCATAAGTTAGCCAACTTGTCCTATAAAAGGAGGCTAACTTATGGAAACCCCAAGATTTGAGGCTTGAGAGCATACAGGCGAGATAGAGAGTAGGTTTTCCGCTGTTCTCCTCCTCGAGGGAGAGCAACGGCCATTATCACGGTATACCAGATTCGTTGTTCATCTCCATATCTTTCTATCTTCTTCTTCTTTATCTGGTACGATTGTTTGATTCTTAAAGAACAGGGACCATCACATATGTACAATCTTGTTTTTAATCAATCTCTAACTCTAAAATCACTCTACTACAGAAAAAAGTATTACCATGCACATAAATCCACCATAAAACCTTTAAATTTATCATTTTATATTTTTTGAGGCTAATATGAGAGTTAAAATAATATAAAACTAATTATTCACATTTTTAAAATATGTAAGAAAACCTTATAAAAATAAAATTAAACACTGTTTGAATAACATGATAAGAAATTAGAGGAACCCTATTAGTCGGAATTGTTTCACTGTCAAACAAAGGCTATTATATTACGGGGTTAGATTGAAAACAAAATCAACATAAAATTTTGGAGATGAAAAACAAAAAAATAATTTTGCAACAATGTAAAACCAAATATACTACTAGGTATATTTACATGGATTAGAAACATGTTTAAATCTTTTACTCCGTATTAAATACGGTACGGAGTAACAAAAATATGTGACCGTAATTTGTAAATTAGAAATTAGTTCAAATAGGACTAAAACTATGGCAAAAACCTAAAATATGACTTGCTATGTTTTTATTCCAAAATAGGACCATATGAGTCCTATTGGAAACATACCTATTTTTGCATTCCATTCTTACCCTTCCATTAAATATGAATTAAAAATAGTCAAAAGCCATAATTAAATATTTAATTCATAATAAATTCGAAAAAAATTCAAAAATTCGTAGAAATATAAGTAAAAAATTTATAAAAATTTTATAAAATAAAAAATTCATTTTTTAAAAATAATTTTATTTTTAAAAAAATTAATAAAAAATAGTAAAACTCCGTAAAAAAAAAATTAAAAAAATATGGATGCCTTTCCCACCGCCTGTACTACCTCCCAGCACCACCACCTCCGGCCGATGAAAAAAATGCCATTTTCCCAGAAAATGCCATTTTTTTCTGAAAATGCCAAAAAAGTGGCATATTTCTCTTTTCGAATGCCAACATTTTCATTTTTTTCTGCCATAAATATGGCATTCGTAATGAACTTGGCATTTTTTCCCCTGGTGACTGGAGGTGGTGGTGCTGAGGCGGCAGAGGCGGCGGCGATTTTTTTTTTGAGTTTTTAATTTTTTTTTTAATTTTTTTTAATTTTTTTTTAATTTTTTTAATTTTTTGAAAAAAAAAATTAATTAAATTTTTAATATCGAAATGTTTTTCTTAATTTTTTAGTATTTTTTACGAATTTTTATTATTTTCTATTATTTTATAAGGAATTAAAACATTTTAATAGCTATAAGGGTATAATTGTCCAAGGTACACATAATTAGTCCTATGCAAACATAGTTTATTTTTTGGTCCTATTTGTGAAAAATGAATGACTTTTAGTCCTATTTTGATAATTAACTGTCCTTAAATTCACCATACCCTCTCCTGGCCTCCACAATTCCACAAACATCTTCGGCTTCGTGAAAGTAAAACCATCACAGGAGTGAGTCAGAGAAAGGCTGTAAGGAAGTGTTCTCCTAAAACAACCGGCTAAGGAGGAGATATGGGAGTGCCCGCATTTTACAGGTGGTTGGCAGATCGGTATCCACTCTCGATCGCTGATGTGGTGGAGGAAGAGCCTAGTAAGGGAGATAATGGAGTGCCTTTGCCAATAAACTTGTCCGGCCCGAACCCTAACGGGATAGAGTTTGATAACTTGTATCTGGACATGAATGGGATTATTCACCCCTGTTTTCACCCTGAAGGCATGGTAGGTGCATTTTCTTGTTTGGGTTTCAGCTCAAAATTTTACTTCCCAGCATCTCATGCCCAGATAACTTAATTTTTGTTTGTTTCCTTAAAGTCTAGTTTTGGTAAGGACAAAAAAAAGTTAGCTTCAAATGGCTATCTTGCACTATATCTCCTTTTAATTTCTTTGACCTATAACTGTTTTTGGGTTTCAGTTGTTCTGTAGAAAAATAACTAAAGTTTAGCTCGCTTAGCTGCAGTGAACAAAGGCTGCAAATTTAGTTGGCTCAGTTTACTGTTGGTAAAAAGTGAGACTGTGATGCAGTCTAGTGAATATTGCTATCAGTATGAGCAATTTTCGGATGGGACATGCCGTGGTAAAAGTATTGGACTCAAAAGACCCACTGATTGCTGTTCCATGGCAACCCATGATTTGGGTTCTTGTTCATCTGTCTTGGTTATAGAAAAACATAAGTATGTTAATTAATATTGGATAAGTGCCAAAATGATAACATTTTTGAAGACCTTTACAGCTGCTTCCAAACAGATTTAAATCAGGTGTTTTTGTAAATTATAGCATTACCAATTTACCGTGATCTGTTTCTGAATATACAAGGGTTGCCATCAGAATTAAAAAGAGGGCATTGCTAGTTCATATATACCATTTTCTCAGGACAGATCATATGACTTTCAAGATATCAACTTTTTAGGAATTCACAACAAATTAAATAAATTGATTAAAGACTTGTGTTGTATATGTCTGAGTTGTGTAATATACCGACATGCATTTGTTGTTTCCTTAGGTATGCTATTTGGCGTATGAAACCAAATTCACACTCCTTACCTTTTATGATAGCTTGCTCTGTTATTCTAATTTCAGCCTGCCCCAGCAACTTATGATGATGTATTCAAATTAATCTTCAAGTACATTGACCATCTTTTCTCATTGATTCGTCCTAGAAAGCTACTTTATATGGCAATTGGTAAGTAGTAACTATTTAGTTTGTCTGGTTTTATTTCCTTAAAAGCAAAGTAGATATTTTATTTACACTTGTCATCTTCTTCAATCTTTTCGCTCTCTTTGTCTACTACGGTGTTATGATAAATAAATATTGTGAATCTCTTCGTCTACTGCGGTATTATGCTAAATAAATTAGATGGAGTGGCTCCCAGAGCTAAAATGAACCAACAGCGCACCAGACGTTTCAGAGCTGCTAAAGACGCTGCTGAGGCTGTAAGGATTTTGTCTTATGTCTTATATTTTTAAAGAAAGTAATAAAAGTTCAATAATTGGGCTTTAATGCCTTCATAGGAAGCTGAAGAAGCAAGGTTGAGAAAAGAATTTGAGATCGAGGGGGCCACGTTGTCCTTGGAAAAGCCAGAGACATCTGATTCTAATGTTATCACTCCCGGGACTCCATTTATGACAGTGCTTTCAGTGGCTCTTCAGTATTATATACAGTCAAGGCTGAATAATAATGCTGGCTGGTGGTTAACAAAGGTCTTTCTTACTTTAGCTAGACTTTGTCTCCTATTCATTTAACAAGAGGATGTGTTTTAGGACAAAATTATTCCCATCTATGGAGTAATCCCTTTTGGTATTTTCTATTATATTTATGGTTTTCAGGGCACTTTTATCTGTTAATTTATTTATTATGGGGATGCATTGATGGTTATTTGAAGGTAATTCTTTCTGATGCAAATGTTCCTGGTGAGGGGGAGCACAAGATCATGTCCTTCATTCGTCTGCAGCGTAACCTTCCTGGCTTTGATCCAAACACTCGCCATTGTCTATATGGTCTTGTGAGTGAGAAGTTTTATTTTTTCCCCATTAATACAATTTTTATTTTACTTACAAATCTATGTGTGTTTTTCCCCCAATTAGGACGCTGATCTAATAATGTTGTCTCTAGCTACTCATGAGGTTCATTTTTCAATATTGAGAGAGGTCATTACTGGTATTGCTATGTGTTGAATTTTCTAGAGTCATATATCTTTTTAAGTTCTTACTTGAGATATTTATATTTTAGGTGATTACTCCACCTGGACAGCAGGAAAAGTGTTATGCTTGTGGACAAGCTGGTCATTTGGCAGCTGATTGTCACGGCACAAGTGCCAACCAGACTGCAAATGCAAACAGGAAAGTTGACATTTCTATCCACAAGAAGTATCAGGTTAAAGAATTTCTGAATGCTCTCTACAGTCCTAAATCCATCTCTGCTATTTGATTTATGGGTCAGTTACTCAGTTATCTTTGGTCCTCACTCCTCACTGTCGCTTTTGTTGTGCATTGGTTGCAGTTGCTCAAAATCTGGGTGTTGAGGGAATATTTGCAACATGATCTATATATTTCAAACCCCCCATTTCAAATAGACTTTGAGAGGCTGGTGGATGACTTCATTTTTTTGTGTTTCTTTGTCGGCAATGACTTTCTTCCTCATATGCCCACACTAGAGATTCGAGAGGTATCTTAACTGTTACGGCAATGTAGAGAATATATTGTAGATTGTGGTTTGCTGATTCCACCACTCTCTCATTAATATTGTTTGCTAAGAAATAATAATGCTATTCCTTATGAAGTGACAAAACCTATATAGCGAGTGAGATTTCTTTCTTTTCTTCCACACACTATCAGGTTTCTTAGACATCGATTAATTATCTTTTTTATTACATATTGTTGTTGACTTTTCAACTATAGGGGGCAATCAATCTGCTAATGGCTGTTTACAGAAACGAGTTCGTGGCTATGGGTGGTTATCTCACAGATGCGGGTGAGGTAATCTATGATTCTTGTGCAAATTTTCAAATATTACTTGAAGCAACTCCTTTCAACTCATATGAAGTTTTGGTCTGGGTAAATCTGTGTTCTTTTTGTTAGATAATTCTCATTGTCATACTTCCCTTGTAAAGTAATAATTTTTTTTCTAGCTTGAGTTTTGTATTTATTAAATGTGCAATTGTGCATGTATTCTAGTCTTTTATAAGGGGCTTTACATTTCTGACCTGCTCCCTATGAAGTTTTTTTTTTTTTGAAAAAAAACGGCTTATATTATAATATCATAATCCAAACAGGCAACATCAAGACCAGAAACCAGAGACAAGCCAATAAGACTAGAAATCATAACTTGATCATACCCCCTTAGACAAGACTCAGAGTCAATCACTCACTCAGAAGCAATGACTCATTGACCCCCACACGGACAAATGTAAGCCAGCCATGATCGATCTAGTATCCTTGTCACTTGTACTATTCTGAAGCTGACCCTCAACAAAAATGAAAATCAAAATAGAGTCCACTGAGGCAAACACAACCCAGTAAAAACAGAACCTAACATCTTTATGCAAAAAATAGACCACAAAAACTGAGAAATAAAACAAATATACTTGCAGAGAAGACCTAGGTGAACCTTGAATCCCAGGCCACCCCTTCCACATTTTTTGCTCATCCACAATCATAGCCCCATCAACATGATCTTCCTGTTCTGGTTTCTCCAACGCTAGCCTTCTCTTTGGCTCCCCCAATCTATTAGCTCCCTTCCCTCACTCAGATTCTTTGAAGACTCCCCTTGCACAAACATGATAGGTGAATCCCATTCCTGAACTCCGCCACCCATTCCCTCCACATTTATCCCTGCCGTCGCTTCACCCTTTGGCTCCCCTCTACCAGCGTGTATACCATCCTTTACTAACCACTTATACTCCCACCACTCTACCTCTACCATCCCCTACTCGCAGCCACGGACCATAAGGCTTGACTAACTCACCCTCTTCCTTGTTATACTCCCGAGGGAAGAAAGGATCCGCATGATCAATTAGACCACAAACAAAGCAAAAACTCAGAAGTTTTTCATATTTAAAATCCACCCAGAACCACCCTCTTTCATCCTTTTCTAACTCCAGTTTCCTCCTTATTAGAAAATGAACTCAGATAGAATAAAGGAGATTCGAATCTTATTGTCTATAAGAGTCAATACAAGCATTTATAGTAGAATACAAGTAACTAACTCTAACAGCCTGTATAACAGCACTAACAGCCCAAAGTATATCTAGAAGGTTTAAAGCTATTTACAATATACGTATGTAACATTATTTTATACTCCTAACATTCCCCCCTCAAACTTAGGGTGATTGATTTGGAAGGTCGGTCAATCACACTAAGTTTGGTTTTTAACTCAAGAAAAGAAGATGCAGACAAAGCCTTTGTCAGAATATCAGCAATTTGTTGGGAAGCAGGAATATGGAACACTTCAATATGCTTGGACTGAACTTTCTCCCTCACAAAAAGAGATCAATCTCCACGTGTTTTTTCCTGGAGTGTAACACAAAGTTGTGGGCAAGTTGTACAGTGCTGAGGTTGTCACAGTAGACCTTTGGAGTAGAAAATGATACTTGAAGCTCTTTGAGTAAGAACTGAACCCATAGAAGTTCAGCTGCAGTGTCTGTTAAACTTCTGTATTCAGCTTCTGCAGAGGATCTGGCCACTCTCAGTTGTTTCTTGGACCACCAAGAAATGATGTTTGACCCAAGAAAGATGCATGATCCAGAAGTGGACCTTCTGTCAACTAGGTCAGATGCCCAATCAACATCACAAAAGGCAAAGATAGGTAAAGGCATAGTTTTCAGAGGTAGAGGTTTAATGATGATGCCATGTGTTATAGTACCAGATAGATATCTGAGAATGTGTTTTACTGCCTTCCAGTGATCTTGTAGAGGTGCTGCCATGAACTGACAGACCTTATTTACAGCATAACTGAGTTCTGGTCTTGTAAGAGTTGCATATTGCAGCATGCCAACAATGGATCTATAAGTGGAGGGATCAGGAAGAGTAGCACTTCCTGTATTAGTTAGCTTGCAGCTACTAACCATGGGAGTTTTCACTCCTTTGGAATCAATCATGCCAGCTTGATGTAATAAATCTCTTATGTATTTGGTTTGAGAGAGATGAAGACTTCCATCAGTCATCTTTTTGACTTCTATTCCTAGGAAGAAGTCAATGTCACCCAAGTGCTTGAGAGAAAAGGATGAGTGTAGTTTATAAATAAGGTTTTGAATTGCTTTAGAATCATTGCCTATGACGAGAATATCATCTACATATATCAATATGTAGATCTGAACTCCTTGAGACTTGAAGAATAGAAGGGATGGATCACATTTACTTTGCTGAAACCATGCTGTATAAAGGACTGAAGTCCGTTTGTGAAACCAGGCCCTAGGAGCTTGCTTTAGGCCATACAATGACTTGTGTAGTTTGCAGACTAAAGTAGTGTCCTGTGCCTAAAGTAGTGTCCTGTGCCTGAAAGCCTGGGGGTTGGACCATGTAGACTTCTTCATCAAGTTTTCCATTTAGAAAAGCATTATTGACATCTAATTGCTGAATGGACCACTGGTAAGAAACTGCCAAGGTGAGTAATATTCTGATAGTGATAGGTTTGACCACTGGAGAAAAGGTTTCTTTGAAATCAAATCCAAATCTTTGATGGAAGACTTTGGCCACTAGTCTGGCCCTTATATTTGTTAAGAGAACCATCAGGGTTTTCTTTAACTCGAAAGACCCATTTACAACCTATAGCTTGTTTGTCAGGTGGTAAAGGAACTAAAGACCATGTTTGATTTTCTATCAAGGCATTATACTCATTTTTCATTGCAGAAAACCACTGAGGAGATGTGAGTGCATTATACTGATTGAGGCTCAACATGTGCTAATATCAAGGTAGGATTAAGTCTAGGTTTAATAATTCCTGATTTTGCTCTAGTTTGCATAGGATGAGTGATAGTTATATGAACAGAATTGGAAATTGAGGAAGTAGAGTCAGATGATGGAGGAGAAGGTGGTTGTAGATGAATAGCTTGCTGATGTAGGGATGGACTGGGAGTAGAGTTGTTGGAATTTACTGAAGAATTATGAGTGGAGGAAGTAGATGAATAACTTGCTGATTGATTGTGATTATTAGAAGAGATGGGTTGGGAGGCTGTGGGCTGGGAATTATTGGATGAGAGGTTATGAGACTGAGATTGTGAGTCAGTGAATGAAAGTTCATGAAGCTGGGATTGAGATGAGTTAGAACCAGAAGGAGGATTTGAGTTTAAAACAGTTAATATGGCAGAATCTGAGTTATGAGTAGGTTTGGTTGTGGGAATGGAAGATTGGGATACAGATGAATAGGGAAAACTGGATTCATGAAAGATGACATCCTTTGAAATGTACTCTGCCAGATTTGGAAAGACACTTATAGCCTTTATGCTGAGAAGAATATCCTATGAATGTACACTCTTCTGAGTGAAAATCCAACTTGTGTTTATTGTAAGATCTGAGAAAGGGATAACAAGTGCAACCAAAGACTCTAAGAGAAGAATAATCTGGGACAGATCCATAAAGTTTAAAATATGGGCTGGAATTGGCAATGGACTTAGATGGAGTTCTGTTGATAAGATGCACAGAAGTTGCAAAGGCAGCATCCCAGAACTTAAAAGGTAAAGAAGAGTGGGCTAGGATTGAGAGACCTTTTTCAACAATAGTGCGATGTTTCCTTTCAACCACACCATTTTGATGATGAGTGTGAGGACATATGATTCTGTGAGTGATTCCTTTTTCATTGAGGAAATTAGTGAAGGATCTAAATTCCCCTCCCCTGTCAGACTTACAGATTTTATGGATATTGAAAATTGATTGAGAATCAAGTTGTAGAAATTTTGGAATGCTAGAAGAGCATCATACTTATTTTTCAGGAAATATATCCATGTATATCTGGTAAAATCATCAATAAAGACTATATAATAGGAATATCCATCAAAAGATACAATGGGTGCTGGACCCCAAAGATCTGTGAATATTACTTCAAAGGGTTTATGATAAACAGTATTAGAAGGATGTGAAGGAAGTCTATGTGCCTTCCCAAGACAACAAGCAGAACAGAAATCAACATCAATGTGATTAATAGAAGACACATTACAATGTTTAAGTACAGATTTAAGTGCCTCAAGATGAGGATGACCTAATCTGAGATGCCACAGATTACATAAATTTGAGGAATTACATGACTGAGACTTATTACATGCTGACAAACAAGACATTGGATGCACAGATTTATTACTACACTAAAGAAGCTTGAGGATGAACTGCAGCAGTTGGACATGGACCAAGAGGAGTGAAAGGAAACTTGTATAAGCCATCACCAAGTTTTCCATGCAACAAGACCTGTTTAGAAACCTGAGATTTGACATAACAGTCATGAGGATAAAATTCAAAGAAGATAAAATTCAAAGAAGACATTATTGTCCTTGGCAAATTGACTAACACTCGGTAGATTTTTGGTTATATGAGGAACATGAAGTATATTATTCAGTAAGAGTGATTGTGAGGAGTGATAAGGTGAGAGAAAGGAAGAAAACCTATAGACTTAATATCCAAACCTTGGCCATTGCCCATGAAGAGCTTGTCAGATGTGGCAATAGGCTCACTGTGCTGGAAATTCAGTGGATCTGCAGTAACATGGTGAGTTGCTCCTGAATCTGGAAACCAATGTTGATTAGATGGAATATGACCAAGTACAAAATGATTAGCAGTGGCATAGTTTGCAGTTGGTAGAGTATTAAAAGGTTGCTGATGTCCCCAGTTGAAGGTTTCAGGAGGTGGATTGGTAGGCTGATGATTCCATGACTGATTGGGTTTTGATTCTATAGACTGAGATTGAAAGGTATATGGTTTAGGTTGATGAGTATAATGATTTGGAGGATAGTGAGATTGTGAGTTGGGATTCCAGTAGGGTGGAGGTCCTGAGGTTTGATTTGGATAATTAGGGTTTTGAGAAGAAGGATTAAGGTTTGGATTGGTATATGCAGGATTGTATCTGTGGTAGCAAATCAAGGCATGGTGACCTGATTTTCCACAGACTTGACAAATGATAGAATTACGTCCAGAGCAACCACCCCTGCCTCTGTGATAGCCACTACGACCACGTCCGCGGTAAGGATTACCACTATTTGGGTGATTATACTGAGAAACATTTGCAGAGGCATTTTCAACGGTAACAGAGATTTCAGATGAATTGTTCTGAGAGGAAGCATCAACTTGAGCAACGTTAGCAGAAAATATACTTTGCTGAGTAGTGTCATGATGTTTCTTAAGTCTCATCTCTTTTGCTAGAAGCAAGGACTCAAGCTCAGCTAAGGTAACTGGTTCGAGAATGTTGCGAGAAGTTACAGAGGACACAAAAGCTTCATAATCTTGCGGCAATCCTTCGAGTATAACATTGATATGGTCTTTGTTAGAGATCGGTTCACCTACGAGAATAAGGTTGTTAACAATTGTCTGAATTCGAAGCAGGTACTCTGAGATGGATCGTTCCCCTTTTTCAGTATTATAGAGTTCGGATTTGAGCTGTCTTGCCCTAGCAACGATGTTAGCTTGGAAGAAATTGCGAATCGTGCTCTAGAGTTCATACGATCGCTGGCAATGAATAATACGAGCATGCAGGGTTTCGGATAGAGATGAAAGCATCCACGCGAACATCTGATCCTGTTGATCCCAAAGAGTGTAAGCCTCATTCACAGTCTCCTTTCCATCTCCATCGGTGATGAATTGCTCAGGAGTCTTCGAATTCTCTATGAACCGAACGAGTTTGTGCGCGCGAATCACAGACTCAACATGATGCTTCCACTTGGAAGAGGGTGATTGAACGCTACTGGAAAGGCGACACTTCCAGTAGCGGAGGTTGAAGATGAAGTTGAATCAGTTTCCAGCATGGTTGATCGAGCCAATGCTCTGATACCATATTAGAAAATGAACTCAGATAGAATAAAGGAGATTCGAATCTTATTGATTATAAGAGTCAATACAAGTATTTATAGTAGAATACAAGTAACTAACTCTAACAGCCTGTATAACAACACTAACAGCCCAAAGTATATCTAGAAGGTTTAAAGCTATTTACAATATACGTATGTAACATTATTTTATATTCCTATTTCCTAACACTCCTTAAAGGCTTTCTTCTGTCCTGACAGACTCATATCCTCATATTCGGCCTCCAGGAATCTTCAAATTGACGCTATTCAACTGCTACTGATTTTCTTATCAAATTCCCAATACGTTTTGCATCTTTCATAGTAAAGAATCCCATACGTAAATTATGAATTTGAACCTAAAAATGTACTTCAGTTAAAGAGACCTTCATAGGCAATTCACCTGCCTGTAAAGCTAACGAATTTTGCTCGAAAAGCCACAAATCATTCACAAGCACACACTTCATATCAATCACATATCAGTGCCACCGAGAAAACCGAACCCTTGTCTTCTCCATCCACTGCTTCCTTACCTCCCTGTGAGGCCTTCATTCTCTTCCTCTAGGACCATTCCTTGATAGTTATGCACCAAATCATCCATGATTTCCATCTCTGATACTCACATGTCCACGCTTCTGGTTTGCTGCCGCTGCTAAGTCGATTGACAGTCAACAACCCATCAAAATCCGTTCACCTGTCGAAAATTCACAGAAAACCAAGCAAAATTGAGAACAAGCAGAACCACCTACACCAAAATACTCCATGCGTATAACCCCTACCGCCGTAAGCCACCCAGAAAACCAACACCAAAGCACTCACTGCGTACAATCCCTACTTCCAGAATCCAATCAGCCTAGAATATTGAAAAAGAAAAGCTAACCTGCCGCACGCTTAAGCGACGAAATTACGAACTCTACGCAGCGCTTGCGAGGGAGTTCAAAAATATAAATAAATTATTCATAGAAACTGCTGCCTATGAAGGTGTAACACATTATTGTATTTAACTTACCAGATTCGTGGGAATTATTTCTTTTTGGAGCATCTTATCTCCATTTTCAGTTCAATTCTTAATATTTGCAGGTTTTTCTGGATAGAGCAGAACATTTTATTCAAGCAGTTGCAGGTCACGAAGACCAAATTTTCCGTAAGCGGGCTCGTATACGTCAGGTAATGATCCTATTCACTCTGAAATAAATGAAATATGGGCTTTTATGTGAATTTGGAATCTAAATGAAATGTTTTTGTTGATCTAGGTATTTAGTTTGGCTTTTACGTCAGGTTTCATCTAATATTTAAGTGGATTATAGACTGCAATCTCTAAGCATTCTGCTGCCTAATGTCTGTTGATAATGTCATATGACATTTTTCGGACATGATGTCGTATTCTTTATGGTAGGTTCCAAAAGCTACCTAGTAAACTTAAAACATGATATTAGAATTAACTCTCCTATTCCCTCTCAAAGTATGAATCTCACCCAAGGAAGGTATAGAAGCCAAGAGAATCCTGGAAACTGGAAATAATATTCATTCATATCCGTTTTGGTTACAACAGGGATGCATATATATAATATCGACACTACTTAACTGATTCCCTACAACATTAGCCACTAACCCACTACTGACCCATGAATGATTTCCACAACTTAACCAAGTGATTAATAATAATAATAATTATTATTAAATAGACTCAATATCAAATGAAACTAATTTAACTTAACCACTCCTATTTTTACGCCTATGGTACGTCATCCATGGTTTTGGAGTTGTATCACTTTACCATCATTATGATGCAGTGTGTTGTGGGCTATCGTTAACATTTATCATAGAAACCTTCTTTGTCATTATTGATTTCCAATTGTCTGAAAATGCTCTGGAATTTACTCAGGCAATAGAGAGTAGTGAAGGGACAAGGTTGAGCGCAAGAAGTGACAGTAATGGCCAGCCACAACCTCCCGATGCGGACAAGGTTTTAACTTTATCTGGCGCTTTCGCTGTTCACATTCACATGAGCGAGCTTTATACTATAGTTATTGTGAAATATATTAGAATGAATGTAGGAATATGCTTTGGAATATTTAGGAATATACTCTAGGATATTATTATGCTATATAATCTTATAGGATACTCTAGAATATTCTATCATATCTTTTGGGACTAAGGCTTGGATGTTGTTGTTGTTGTAGGGACTTTAACCCTTCAATAAAGACACAAAAAATCATTTCCTCTCCAAGATTATTTCTTAGTTTATATGCTCTATTTCAACATTTATTAATTAGTATAGACCACTGCGCATAACTATAAAAATGGCTGATGCCTTTTATCTTTATTTAAAGTGATCATAAATTATATTCGGAGTAAAGGATGTTTTGGTCATGTGGAACTTCCTTACACACAGCAGCATAATCTGTCAAGCTCCCCAGAGCTTTTCCTGTCATGTTATATGATTCCCACAGTAGTAAACCGAAAGAATTTTACTTCTAAATCCCTAAGTTCTTTTCAAGTCTCATTGTGGTAAATCGAGATCTTTAAGTTCCTCTTCACTCTTCAGTCTCTGAATGGCAAGCTAGATGCTAGTATTTTAATGCCAATAATCTCTTGGGTTAGATGAGAGTATGACTTTGGAGAGGGCAAAGTGGATGGAGAGTATACGTTTGGAGGATGATATGATTTTGTTCGTCTCCCCTTTTCTCTATTTATTGTTTTTAACTCCAATATTGTACGTCGATTCATGTTAACCGGCCCCAAACTTTTGAAAATTAGGCATGGTTGTTGTTGTAATCTTTTGAATAAATGTCTTCTGGATATCTGTAGTCTGTTTATATTATCTAAGTTCCAAACATAATAACTATGTGTTACGGATGCATTCTGGGGCAAACAATACAGCAGGCGACAGGGCCAAGAACGAGCCCAGAACGTTGCAGATTCATACTCGGACCGTGGGTCCAACTATATCGAGAAACAAAGTGGCTGAAAGAAAACTATTAATTAGTTATTACTATTATTCCTATTTCAGTTTTAGGCAACTTCCTATTTATACTATTATTCCAATTTCAGTTTTAGGCAACTGACTAATTGTTCTAGTATTCCTATTTTAGTTTTAGGCAACTGCCTAATTATTAATTGCCTTAGGACTTGTATCAGCCTCTATATAAGGGTCATTATTATTATCAATAAAGGAACTTTTGGAAGAATTAATTCTGTGTGTCTTGACTAGGTCGGACATCAATTTAATTCCTGCTCAAGATTTCAATTCTTCAGAAGTCATAGATTCCTTCCCAGTCAATTACCTTCCCTCTGAATTACAGAATCACTCTCGTCCCTGGACGAGATCATTAACGCAGGTTCTTAACAATTTGGTATCAGAGGCCGGGACAATGGGCAACGATGCAGCAGGAGCCGAGGCATTGAAACACATGATTGAGGGCATGGACCAATGCCAGCTGACTGTGGAACACCAGCTGGCCGACCTGCAGGAGTGTGTCGCTAAATTGGCAGAATTACCGGCAGCGATGGCCGCCTTGTCCGCCTCTGTCCAGAAAATGACCGCAGATTCCTCCTCAGTATCTCCCCGCTTTGCTCGACAACACGAACGAAACTACCGACGGCAGGATCATGATGACTTGGTGGTTCCACGTTTTTCCAAGCTTGATTTTCCACAATATGACGGTAAGAGCGACCCTTTGTCATGGCTTAAACGTTGTGAAAGTTTCTTTGTTCACCAGCGTACACCGGCGCAAGCCCGTGTGGGTCTCGCAACGTTTCACATGACTGGGACAGCCCAACTCTGGGCTGATCAGCTTGATCCCAGTGCTATTTACATCACCTAGACCGAGTTCTATACTAAGTGTACTAAACGCTTTGGACCGCCCTGTGGTGCCAATCCTGAAGGGGACCTTGCCAAACTCACCCAAACACATGATGTCGAAACTTATATTGAGTTGTTTCAACAGTTGCTTGCCCGCACAGTTGGCATCTCTGTGCGCATGCAAGTTAAAATCTTCACAGCGGGATTACGTGAACCGTTGCGCTTGGAGGTTGAGTACCAGAATCCAGTTGATCTTGATTCGGCAATGATGTTGGCCCGTACTGTGAACCGCAAGTATGAACACCCGGAGACCAAATCTCGTTCCACTCTTTTGGTTCCATCTGCATAGTACACGCGGCCACCGACACTGAATATGCCTGATCCATCCTTAAACCGACGACAATCCACACCGAGGTTTAAAAAGATCTCCTGCGCTGAGGCTGCCATACGCCGGGAAAAAGGTTTGTGTTATAACTGTGACGGTCCGTGGATTCCAGGTCACCGTTGTAAACGACTTTTTTTTATTGAGATTCTGGATGAGGAATCCTTAGAGGAGCCAGATGAATATACAACCAGTGTTGAGCCATCCCTGTCTATCTTGGCTATGACCGGGTTCGGATCTTCATCCACCATGCAACTTTCAGCACGTCTCTATGACCGTTCCATCACTATCTTGGTAGATTCAGGCAGCACTCATAACTTCCTGCACCAACGGTTACTTCCAACCACGGCGGTCCTATCTCAGGTTGGCAATGCACTCCATGTACTTGTCGCTAATGGTGACCGTGTTTCCATAATGGGTACCTGCTCCAATCTCCCTTTTGAAGTCGATGGCAGACAATTCTCATCAGATGTTTATGTCCTTCCACTGGTTGGGTTCGATATGATCCTTGGTGTTCAATGGCTCCGTGGTTTAGGTTCCATCGTGTGGGACTTTGAGCAGCTCTCCATGCGTTTCTAGTGGCAGGGCCATCCAGTAGAATGGCGTGGACGGGCAGCAGGTCACTCCATTCATGCCCACATGGCTGTTACCTCGCAAATGGAGACCCCGTCTCTGGATACAATGCTGAACAGTTTCTGTGACCTCTTTCGAGAACCCACCAGTCTCCCGCCTCGTCGAACTCATGATCACCGTATTACTTTATTGTCGGGCTCAGGTCCCGTGGTGGTTCGACCATACCGATATCCTTATTTCAAGAAGGATGAAATTGAAAAACAATGTTCTGAGATGTTACAACAGGGGATAATCCAGCATAGCCGCTCTCCATTCTCATCCCCAGTTTTATTAGTCAAGAAGCCAGACGACACATGGCGTTTTTGTGTGGACTATATGGAACTGAATGCCAAGACCGTTAAAGATAAATTCCCTATTCCCGTGATTGATGAACTGTTAGATGAACTCCATGGCGCCAAATTCTTCACCAAGCTGGACCTCCGCTCTGGTTATCACCAAATCCGCATGGATCCTAATGATGTCGAAAAAACAGCATTCCGAACCCACCATGGTCACTTTGAGTTCCTTGTGATGCCATTTGGGTTATCTAACGCTCCATCTACGTTCCAGAGCCTTATGAACGACATCTTTGGGCCTTACTTGCGCAAATTCGTATTAGTTTTCTTTGATGACATCTTGATCTATAGTAAGTCATGGGTTGAGCATGTCCATCGCGTTCACCTTGTTTTTGAGATTTTACGCACTCACGGATTGTTTCTCAAACATTCCAAGTGTAGTTTTGGATCCCCGCAAGTTAACTACTTGGGACATGTGATTCATGGTCAAGGAGTTGAGGTTGATAAATCCAAGATTCGTGCGGTTCTTTACTGGCCTACCCCAAGCACCGTAACTGCCTTGCGTGGTTTTTTGGGTCTTGCGGGCTATTACCGCAAATTCATACAAGGATATGGAGAAATTGCAAGACCACTCACCCAACTTCTCCAGAAAAATGCCTTTGTTTGGTCCCAGCAGCAGCCACCGCCTTCACTGACCTCAAGCAGCGTTTGTCTTCAGCCCCAGTATTGCAACTTCCAGATTTCACAAGAGAATTTGTTGTAGAGTGTGATGCCTCTAGTAGTGGATTTGGGGCCGTCTTGCAGCAAGAGGGTCATCCCATTGCATATTTTAGTCGGCAGATTGTGATAGAGATCCAGCTAGTCTAAATATTCAGAATAGATGGTTCGGGCGAGTTTATTCTAGAAGGCCTAAAATAGACTAGCGAGTTATTAGTTGAGAGTTGTTAGTAACTAATAACTACCTTCTGTTTGTAGAAGGTTATAAATAGAATATTTCTGCTGTGGGAATGGAGGCTGTTTTTTGGAGACTAATTGTCTGGGACTGGGAGTTGGAGTTCTATCTCCTTCTTGGGACAATTGTATACGTTTTACCTACTGTGAATAAGATTCAGTTTCTTTCTTTTGTTCTTAACTCTTTTGTGATTGATTCTGGATTTGTGGAAGTCGTATCATTGGTATCAGAGCCTGGTTGTAGTTGTGAATGGTTGGCACGAGAAAGAAAATGGAAGGGAGAATGAATGACGTTGAGCGTGGTCAACGTGAAATGCAGGCCAGTATGGAGAATCTAGCTGCGAATATTGCAGCGATGCAAACTGCGATGCAAGCTAGTATCACAGAATTACATGTTCAGATGACTAATCGATCTCGGAGTCAGTCGCGCAGATCGAACAACTCTCAGCGAACCACTCATTAGAGAATTTTGCGAGATGAAGATAGTTCGGATGATGCAGATAACCATTCCATTTCGCGTCACGACCATGAACAAAGACGGAATCATAGAAGTCAGAACAATACGGGAAGAAAAATTGACTTGCCCATTTTCAACGGAAAGGATGTTACAGGATGGTTGTTAAGGATGAACAGATACTTCCGATTGAATCGAACGGAGGATGAAGATAAACTGGATGTGGCGGTCCTCGCATTGGAAGAACAAGCTCTCAGCTGGTTCCAATGGTGGGAAGGACAGGCACAACGTCTGAATTGGGACTCATTTACACGAGCGTTGACCAGGAGATTCCAACCGGACTTGGTACAGGATCCTTTGGGGCCTTTGTTTAGCTTGAAACAGAAGGGATCTATATCTGAGTATAGAGACCAATTTGAGACAACTATTGCATCATAGGGACATTTATCTGAGGAGGTGTTGAAAG